CTCTGTCTCTTTTCCTCTTGTTATCTCTCTGGTCCTTCTGTCCTTCTCTCCATCCCTGTTGCCCCTGTTCCCTATCTATTGTCACGTTTTCCTCTCTCTCTCTCTCTCTCTCTCTCTCTCTCTCTCTCTCTCTCTCCCTTTCTCTCTCCCTCTCCCACCCTGTATCTTTCTGTTTCTTATTTCCTTTCCTTCTCTTTCTCTCTCTTTAGCCCCCCTCCCCGCCATCTTACTTTCTCGGTGTCTCTGAATGTTCTCTCTTAAGAGCCAGCACTTTGAAGGGGGACTAGTCTCAGTCTCAGCTGTGCCCAGACACCAGGGGGCCCTGGGGAGTGCCTTCCCTTTACTTGGCCTCAATTTCCCCATCTATAAAATGAAAAGGCAGCTTGGCGGAGCTCTTAGGGTCCTGTGGATTCTGATGAAAGAATGAATACTTGCAGACCCGCTGTGTCCTTTCAGACCCCCCTCTACCACCCTCTGGTCCCAAGCCTGAAGCACTCACCAGGAACCATTCCAGCATGAAATGGTCACGGATCCCCAAGGGGGTGCAGTCCAGAGTGACGGGATCCCCCCTCATTACCTCCACCAGGGGCGGCACAGACACCTGTACCTCAGCCTGGGCACCTGTGGGAGAGCAACTTAGCTTTCTCCCACTGCCACCAATAGGGAGAGCCTTCCAGACAAAGCCCCTCTTCCTCCAGGACACAGGGGTACAGGGGTGCAGGCCCCCAGTCCGCTCTTCCTTTACTGGTCAGGCCTCCAGGTCCCCAGCCCCGCCTCCCTCAGACTCAGTCACTCCTCCCTCCATCTCTCATCTCTGTGTCTCTGAGCATCAGACCCCATCAGCAGTTTTCTTCATCTCGCCTTTCACTTGCAGAACTCAGGGCTCCTCTCCTGGGCCACACAGGGTGCTAGTGGCCTCCATTAACTCCTCCTGGCATTAAACTGCACCTGTCCCTGATTTTCCCACTAGATCAAATGCCCCTCAAGGGCAGGACCAAGGCTGGTTCATCCCTTTGCCTCCATCACCCTTTGCAGGGCCTGGCACAGTGGCATGGATGAGTTTCCATCTTAGTTTCCATCTCTGCCTGTGTGTCTCTCATCCTGGGGTTCCATCTCTTAGTTCCACCATCTCTGCCTCTCTCTGTCTCAGCATGTCACTCTCAGTCTCCATCTCTCTCAGCTCCTGGGTCTGTCCCTCATGAGCAGGGGGGCTGGGGTGGGGTGTGGGCTGCAGCTGAGCCTGGAGCTGAGGCGGGATGGGTGTGTGGGGGTGGTGAGGGGGGACAGGGCTGGGCAGGTTTCAGGAATGTGGGAGGGACAGGCTGGCTCAGACCTGCCCGGCCTGGCGCCAGAGCCCCCTATCCGCCCCTTGGCCCCTCTGCCTCTTCGATAGAGAGGGGAAGGTGAGTCACTCCAGAACAAGATAGGGTTGGGGCCCCAGATCCTGGATCCTGAGGGAGAAGGGAGCCGAGGGCTCGGACTTCTGGGTCCTGAGTAGCTGGTCCTAGACTCCTGTCCCAAGATCCTGGCAGATAGTGCTATTCTCATCAGGAAAGCACGCTCTCTCACCCTCTGGGCTGGCATCCTGGCATCAGCTCAATTCTTAGAACCTCCCTTCCCTTCCCTGCCCAGCCTGGCCCAGCCCTGCCCCTGGGGACCCACTATTTGCCATGCTTGTGCCAAGGGCCTGGATTCCCTGGCACCCACCTCTGGCCCAAGCCTGTCCCAGGGGAGGGGGCGTGGAGCCAGGCTGGTGCCTGGGTCTGGGTCTGAGCAGCAGAGAGCAAGGACAGACGAGCGATCCCTCTCTCTTCCCCAATCCCTCTCGTCTCTGTCCCTCTGCTGCAAGCCCTCAGGGCCTCCTCTCCCTCCCACCACCACGCAGGTGTGTGGATTTCTCTGGGGCCCCAGGAAGGGGGCACTGTCCCTTGGAAACACTTTGTTCCACTGTCACTGCCCAAAGCTGGTGCTCTAGCTCTTCCCCCAGAGAGGCGGGATCTTGATAGTCTGGACTCTGAATCTAGATGGGGACCCCTCCAATGCATGACTCTGATTTCTAGCTATAGAGTCCCTGACCCTCTCAAAACTTGAGAACCTTTCAGGAGGAGAGCCCTGGGGTTTTGTTCTCCTGGGCCCTGGGGGAAGCCACTCCAGCCACTGGAGGCCTGGACTCCTGGATCTGAGGGAACAGGGGCCCCAGAACTCAGCTCCAGGGGCTCAGGCTCCTGGGTCCTCAGTGGGGAAAGGGGTTCTGACTTCTCAGGTGGTCTCTAATCCACTGCTGTGATGTCCCCAGCTTCTCTGCCTGATTGTCCCCAGGTCTCTCATTGGGAGGGACGGCCCCCTTCCTCTCCCATATTCCTCCTTCCTGGGGTCCCCAGGTTTGGCTTCCCGGGGTGAGTGAAAGCTACTTCCCCCTTCCCTTTCCACAATCCCCAACGGGCCGTCCCCCCGTTTCGCCCTGCTCTCAACCCCAGCATACCTGGGTGCGCCCCCAGCAGGAGCGCCAGCACCAGCAGCTGTGGGGCCCCGCGCGTTCCGGCCTGGGCGTCCGGGGGCTCCATGTCCACAGCGGCGGCGGTGGTGGTGGTGGTGGCGGTGGCGGTGGCGGTGGTGGCGGCGGCGGCGGCAACTGAGCCCCGGCTGCAGCTGGGCGGCCGCCGCGGGGCTGGGAGAAAAAGAGGCCCCGCCCCCGAGCCCCGCCCCGCCCGGCCCCGCCTTCCTGGCCCCCTAGTTCCCCCAAACCCGGGCGCCACGCCAGGACCTCCCACTGCCCGGAGAGGACCTCCCAGTACTTAGCTAGGAGCGGGGCTCTTCTGCCCCCAGCCCCGGCCTTTCTCTCACACTGACCAGCACCCCAGGCGGGTGGCTTGACCAACCAGTCCAGCCAGTGTGTCCTCAGCTGGGACCTCACCAAACAACGGAGGACCCTCTTCCCCTACTTCTGACCAGGAGCCTCCTTGTCTCTATGGCCAATGGCTTGGGCTTGCCTTGTTGATTTGACCCAGTTGACCCCAGCACAACCAGTGGCCTGCACTGGCCTTTCCCAGTACAACCAGCAGCTCCCAGTCTGACCAGTGGCTTAGAACACCTTCTCCCAGGATGCCCTGGGAGGCCCTCCCCTGTGGCCAGTGCTCTGGGCTGCTTTCCTGTCTGACCAGTGGCCTGGAACCCTTCAGTTTAATCTCTTATATTTAGTGATCTCCAAACCCAAGTTCTGCCCAGGCTTCCGTGATGATGGGATGAGGGGGTTGTGGGGGGGCTGCCGGGTGCTCCCTCCTTGGCTCTCCCCTGTAGGGCCCTCCCTCTCTTCCCTCCATCCAGAGAATCCCAGGAATGCCACCCCCCCTTACTCCTTCTTCCCTTTACTCCCTCCCTATCTTGGGGGGAGGGGAGGAGAATCAGGCTGGCAGGAACAGGTGAGTAGGACAGAGGAGGCTAGGGCACCTGAGGGAAGGCAGGAAGGACATGGCCATGGGTCAGGAGGAAGGGTCACAGATCAGAGTGCCCAGGCTCCTCACAAGCCAGGTCTGACTGGGGCAAAATCCCAACTGCTGACTGCGGGGTCCGGGGTCCGGAGATTTTCCTGGTTACCAGGGAGAAGTTATGCCCTGGACTCGGGTCAGAAGTGTGTGTGTGGTGGTGGTGGTGGTGGTGGTGAGGGGTAGCTGGGCGCGCTGGGAGAGGTTCCCCAAGCCTCTGATCAGACTGGGGGTCACTGGTAAGCCTGGGCTTTGCCCATCAGACACAAAGGGAAGGCTCAGGTTACAGGTCCACCTGGGAGTCACACTAGGCAAAGCTCCTTTATCCATTGGTGATACAGGAAAGCAATTGTTATACCAGGACAGGTGACCTTTTAGTATTAGCCACACTACCCCCTCTTCCAGGATGTCCTCCCTGCTCTCCTGGCTGGGTCAGGTGCCCCTTCTGGGCTCCCACAACCGCCAGGGCTCCTCCACCCCAGTCCTACATACTCTGGATTGTCCCTGTCTGGGGACGGGCCTGTCTCCCCCCACGGGACTGTGAGTCTGTGAGGGCAAGGCCCCGGGCTGTCTCGGCCACAGTTGTGTCTATAGCACCAGGCCAGAAACAGAGCAGGCACTCAGGAAAGGTTTGCTCAAACTCAGGAGCACACAGGCTCACATGCAGAGCCCACCCAGACTGGATCGCAGGACACACGATATAAACTCGCTTGAGGACAAATTGCAGGAGCACTCACAGACAAGCTCACACACTGTGACTCCAGACGCCCAGTCCCCGGCTCTTTCTTCCGCTCCAGCTTGGGCATCTACTGCTTGCCCTGGACTTTCACAGGTGCCTTCTCATCAGCCACTCCCCTTCCACTTTCCTTAGGAACCTAACCAGCTGAGGTTCTAGGCGACCGAGGACTATATATAGAGTGTGTACGGAATGAAGTCATACGTGCTACAGACCAGGCAGACTTGCAGAAACTAGTTCTGTGACATCATCTGTCCTTGTCCCCAATAATTTATTCCCACAAAACAGCCAGAGGGATTCCATTAAAATGTGAACCAGATCACTTGACTCTCCTGCTCGGAACCCTCCCGAGTAAAAGTTCAAGTCCACTCCATGGCTCACAGGCCCTCAATCTGGTCCTTGCTACCTCACTGACTCCATTTTCCTCTCCTTGCTAGCTTTGCTTTGCCACATTGTTCTCCTTGCATCCATGCTGTTCCTCCACCACCAGACATGTTCCAGCCTCTAGCTTTTCCCTTTGCTGGGACAGTCTTCCTTCACACAGTTACTTCAAATCTCTATGCCAACATCACGTCAAAGAGCTTTCCTTGACCATCCTACCTAAAATAGCAATTCCTGCTTTCCCAGCCATTCCTAATTTCCCTTATCTTACTACATTTTTTCTCCATAGTATTTATCGCTGCTGCATATTTTTTATTGTTTGTCTTGGACAGAACATAAGCTCCAAGTGGTTTTGTTCACCACTATATCCCCAGTGCCTATAATAGTGCTTGGCATGAGGAGCTGAGTAAAAGTTCAATGAGTTAATTTTCCAGTTCCATCCTTGGTCTCATTGCACATGCTTACACATTTTAGTTAACAAGCCTTATCTTTTCTCCACCTTTATCCATTATTTTACAAAAGGTGTGTGATGGTTAACTTTAAAACGAGTTCACAGCTCATGGAATACGGGTTCATGACACATTTCAAGGGTGACGGCTATTCCTTAATGGTTCCACACTTGCATCTGAAAGATGTAACTATTGAGAGTTTGTGTTGTTTTGAGGGCAGCGTGAATGCATTTGAGGTTGGATAAGAGTTCAGATAAGAACTTTGGGGGAAGAGAATGGAAGTACAGAACAAAGGGTACGTACCGATGTTGAGCGTGCTAAGGGGTGGACTGTAGTGGACTTTTGTGGGAAGAGTTAGCTAATGTCTGCACCCCCTTTCCACAGTTAGAAAAATCCCAGCTTTCTGAAAGCCTGTTGCCCTCTGTTGAAGCCAATAAAGACGTTTGCCTTTCTACCTCTGTTGGCACCAAGGTGACCTTGGCAAATCTTGCCGTATTTGGGAATCAGGAGTTAATAACACCCAAGAAGCAGGGATTGGTGAATCTAGTCCTGCTATGGCAACTGGGACAAATTCCATTTTCCAAAGATGGCTGCAACAATATCTCTCATCCCACCTGCTCTTCTACAATCTGGTCTTGACACTCTTTCCACTGAGAAGTAGGGTCCCTGTCCCCTCCTCTTAAATCTGCAGTTGTGCGACTCGCATGTAGCCAATAGAAAGTGGTAGAAGTGACACTGCAGGACCCCCAAGATTAGGTAGAAAAACCATGTAGCTTCTGCCTGAGTCTGTGGAACACTATCCATGAAGCCTTCAGCCACCACATTAGCAGTCTGACTACCTGGAGGCAGCCATGCTGTGGGGGAAGCTCAAACTAGCACATGTGAGGCCACGTGGAAAGATCTGAGACTGCAGAAGGACGCCTGTCCAGCCCCCAGCTGCCTTGCCCCAAGCACTACTTGATTGAACCTTGAGCCAGAACCACCCAACTGGGCCCTTCCCCAAATCCTGGCCCACAGCACCCACGAGAGATAATAACATGATTGTTGTTCACCAGTAAGTTTTGGTGTGATTTCTTCTGAGCAACAGCTAGCAAACACAGCTTGTTTCTGGGGCAGCACAGGCAGCGAATGACTAGTGTCCAGTGGTCATCAGGCACCAGGGTAGCCTCATCGGACCGGTTCTGTGGCATGATCATGGCTGGGCTACGGTTGGAGGCCAGCTGCCAGTGTTGCTGCTCACTTTCCAATCCTGTTTTTCTAATCACTTCTGGAATTCTGTAAGTGATCCCAAGTCCTCTCAATCAATTTCCTTTCTGCCCCTGAGGAGGCTTCTGTTGCTTGGAACTAAATCTGTGATGCGTGTTTCCAGCTCCGGTTTACACTGGAATACCTTTTCAGTCTCAGCTGGGACGTCTCCTCCTCCTGGAAGCCTTTCCTGACCTCCCAGGCTGGGTCAACTGCCCTCTCTGGGTTCCTGCAGCCCCCCTGTCCTCCCCCCGTGCCAGTGCTGCCCACTCTGAATTGTCACTGTCTGGGAACAGGTCTGTCTCCCCTACAGTGAGTCCAAGAGGGCAGTAATCACTGCTCCATGCCAAGCATTGCCCCGCCCGGGGCTGGGCACAGGGCAGGGGCTCAGGGGATGCGGACTGGTTTAAACTTAAGTGGAGAGAGGCTTGGGTTCCTCTGGGATTTGTGATGAGGTGAGAGACACTTTCTCAGCTTGATTTGGACTGGAAGTCGCTGTTACTCTGGAGGAAGGACCCAGGGAGGAATACAGGGAAAAGAGAGGGATGAGAACAGATGCGGCAAGATTGGGTGCATAACCCTCAAGGAAATGTGGGGATCTTTTTGACTAGGGGACTTAGAACTTGGATGTCTAGGTCTGGGTGCAGGAATTTTTTTGCCGTGATGGGGAAAGGGGGTTGGCTGCCTGATTCTCTTAAGAACTTGGGACTCCTGGGTCTGAGAGAGAAGGGTCTGGGGGCCTGGACTCCTGGATCCAGAGGAGCTGGGTCCCCATTCTGGGCTCTCTGATCCCAGACCCCAGGGTTAATCAGCTGGGGCTCAGGCCTCAGGGGACTGCCTAGTTCCCGATGCCAAGCTGCCCCCTAGTGGCCATGGCATTGGCCATCTTTCTCCACATACCACAGGACAGACAAGGTTTGGCAGTTTATTTCCGCTTCACAAACCCCTTCCAGCCCCTGGGGTTCCCTTAGCAGCATATCTTGGTGCCCTGTGAGGTGGAAAGAGAGGTGGTTTAGATAGTATCACATCCAGGTGGGGTGGAGTAGGCAAGGCCAAGGGAGGATACCTGGGCAGGGTGGGGGTCTCACCTGGCCTCCAGGCCTGGGCTGCGATCATGGGCCCCACAGAGGCAGCTGGAAGGGTGACTTTCCCTTTAGGCGTTTCTGCAATGAGGAGAGTTTGAGGGTGGCTGTTGATTTCCTAGGACCAGTGTTTCCTTTCTGCCCCCATGCCTTCCTCCCTCAGACCCAGGAGTCCCCAACCCCAGCTGCCCTCTCCACTTACTCTGTGGCTCCCTGCCTGGCCTGGGGGCCGGAGGTGGTTTCCCATGGGGCTGAGGCCACAGTCCTCATTCTTGGCAAAGTAAGAGGTGCCCGAAGTCTGGGGAAGGCCTGGAGGGGAGGGATTAAGATATTTTACAGCTGAGCTGCAGCTGTGCTTTAGTTTACAGGCCTCGACAGGGGTAGCACAGCGGTGGCGTGGGGAGGGGGGTGTCTGGAGGGAGCAGTATGAGACAGGACCTTGTTCCCAGCTCTTGTTCTTTCCCACCCAACACCTCTGGCTTGAATAAGAAGTTCTAATTTGTTTGTCCATCTGTCCATCCACCCATCCATTCTCTCTCCCTTCCTTCCATCTCTTCATTCATTCATTCATTCATTCGTTCATTCATTCATTCATCCCACAAACATTTCCTGAGCACCTAGTGTGTCAGGCACTGTTCTGGGCTCTGAAAAGAGCCACGAACTGGACAGATGAACATCTTTCTCCTTATGCAGCTGACAGTCTATGGAGCAAGAGGCATACCATGAGTAATCAGTGCGTGAACAAGGAAATATCCCAGAGAGGATCAGGTGTCCTTCAGAGAACTGAAATAGCCATGGAAAGTGCGTGTGGGGGGTGGGAGTGACCGGACATGAGGGTAGTGGGGGGGTGCAGGGGGAGAGCTCTCAGAGAACAACTGAGCAGAAGCCTGAGTGTAAGAAGGATGTGGGGAGAGGCCCGCCCTGTGGTGGGATGTAGGCTTGCTGGCCGGTTAGAACAGTGAGGGGTCTACTGTTGCTGGAAAGGAGTAGGGGGGTTAGTAG